CAAAAATAATAATTTTCATCTTCACCCAATGGTTTGTAAAAGATCATCTTATTTAACTGCTTAATTCTTTTATTATTTGTATAGTTTGTTTTTAACATGATTTATGTATGGACTGAACACGATAAAAACATATGATTCACAAAACTGACCCATCTAGTAAGAAAAAGGCTTGTTCTTATTGTTGTTGTATTGTATATTTTAACATCATACTCTTAGTTTGTGAAAAATAATGCAGATAGAATCGATGCAGGATAATGGACAGGTTTTATTTGTAGATGGGAGTTGGGTCATTGCCGACACTATTATATACGTCACTGGGTAACATTTTGGGAGTTTTTTTTCTTTATTTCTTGCACTAAAAAAGGGTTTATAAACATGGATTTATATTATAAAAATGTCTTGTATTCATATTCATTTCTATTTTTGGATATCAAAGGGATAGTGTCGATGGATGATGATCGAGTTGACCCTCTTTATGAGCATACATTTCCTCTTTCACTTGTTCCTTCTCTTTCATTTACTGGTATTTCAGAAGTGGTAAGTAGTGCCGGTTATATTTTTATATACAGGTATTAATATGGTAAGAAAGTCTGTTATTTCGCCTAATTAATGTGGAGTTTCTAAAATCTGAATAGTGAATAGCCTTTTTTTTCTTCTCTAATGTTTGTATATATGGGTAATAGGATTCTCATTCTTTGCGTCGCAATCAAAATGGGTAGCTCGACTTCTCTCAGGGAAGCGAGAGTTGCCATCATATGACGAGTGGCGTCCATCAAAGAGTTCTATCTTTCAAGACATTTTAATGCCATTCCAAAACGTCATACTCATGTTATTTAAAAGTTTGATGGTTTCGCGGTATGTTGAAATATAATTTAGTTAATTACTTATTATCATTACTATTAAAGTACTCCTTCTGTCTCAAAATTATTATCCAGTTTGAGATTTCACTTTTAGTACAATCTGAACTAGAAATGAAAACTCAAATTGGACAATAATTATGGGACGGAGGAAGTATCTAGTTTCAGGTACCTTATTGGACAGCGATGATAACAGTAATTTTTTTTCCTTTGTTTTGGGTGTCTGGCAGTATTGCGATTGCTTTGCAGAGTACTCGGGTTCACCACGTTTAGAAGATTGGAGAAAAAAAGTACAAATTACTCCCTTCGTCCCATAATTATTGTCCAGTTTGGGCTTTTAATTTTTAGTTCAAATTATACTAAAAATGAAATCTCAAATTGGACAATAATTTTGGGACAGACGGTGTATTTAGTGAATTATGAGAATTTTTGTGGCTCATATAATAAGGACCTAGATATTCTTCGGTTTAGTGACAGTAATAGGTTCAGAGTTTGAGGACAAACTTTCATTACAAATTCCCCGTTTAATTGTAGTTTCATTACTTATTGATGAAAACTAAATTCTTTTCTTACTCATAATTCGTTTCTTACGTGTATTTTTTTTCTTCCCTTTTCATCAATCTTCTTATTATTTGCTTTAGCACTATCAATTGCCTACTAAGTTTTCTTTCAGAACCCTTTTTTTTTTTTTTTAAGAATTCTTTCAGAACTTATACCCCAAATAACCTACTCCCATAAATTTTTTTCTTCGAACAATGATGAGTATTTCTAAGGTCGATTAAATAAAAAAAAAACTTGGCTACTTTTTATATTTCAATTATGAGCTTTTCTAGGAACAACTTTTAGGTGTAAATTATACCCCCACATAACTTTACTCCAGTTATGTTATTGAGGGTCAATGACAAAGTTAATGCTCAACAAACTCTCAACCATTTTATACCAATTTGGACTTTAGAGCTCTCTAAAGAAAGTGTATCAAATTTTTCCAAAATGCCATTTGGATTGGCTATAAATAGAGGTGAAAACTTTATGTATAAAATGTACCAAATGGGAGAAAGATTTCTTTTTCTATACTTCTCTTCATAGTTCTTTTCTTTCAACCACAATTTACGTTCTTCCATTAATTTTAAAACACATTAGGAAAGGAAATATTTATTAGTTAAAGTTTCTTTACGAAAGTAAATTGAAGCTTTCTTTAATTAATTTATCTAATATTTGCTAATTAAGTTAAGAAATTATTAGTACATTTACTTAGATAATTCGTCGATATAATGGGTTTTGAATACGCATGAAATCTCTACAAACATCATTAAAGGTATTAGTTTTCTTATCTAGTTATGTACATTCTATATGGATGGTTCTATTGTTACCTCCTAATTTTACATTCAAATTAGTTAATTTCTTGCAAGATAATGTATTTAAAGACTTGTCCTTGCCATTAAGTTTTTTCCACTATGCAATTCTATTGTACGATGCTTTATTATATCCCAATGTATATATTCTGTATACCCTATATTTTTGTGTGATGCTTTAACTTTTCTCTAATACATTTTGTTTTTCAGATTTTCTTTATTACACTGTGGGATGTTTTTCTTAAATCCATATTTACTTATTTTACTTTATTTAATATGTAGTGGGATGATTGATAGATTCCTATTATAATTATTTTCTAACAATTTATTTTCTTTCAATTTCATTGAGTGTATAATGAATTTAATTTTCCTTATTCAGTTATTACTCTAATTGTTTTTTTCGATGAATTAAACATTTTTAAAATAAAAAATTATATTTAACAAAAAAAATAACAGCTATAAAAAAGCTACAGTGTAATTTTTCTTCTATAAATACACGTTAAGAAAGTTAAACATTTATATTTATGATCAACATGATAATTGATACAAAGAAGAAAAATATGGAAGCCAAAGCAAGTTTTGAGTAGAGAGAAAATGAAGATGAAAGTTATTTGGAGTGTTGGTTAATGATGTATTTATAGTAGAAAAATAATAATGTAGCCATTTTATAGCATCCATTTTTTTTGTTGTTAAATATGACCTTTTCATTTTAAAAATATTTGAATTGTCAAATTAAACAATTAGAGTTATAATTGAATAAGAACAAGAAAATTCATTGTACACTCAGTTAAATTTAAAGAAAACCAATTGTTAGAAAAATAATTGTAATAGGGATCTATCAATCATACCATTATGTATTAAATAAAACAAGTATGTCGGCTCTTTAGAAAATTTCCCACGATAATATTAAAAACACTCTGAGAAATAAATGTATCAGAGATATATGCATCCTCACAAAAATATAGACTATATATTATGCATCCAATAATTGAATCGAATAGAGTTAGAGGAAAAGCTCAAACTTTAGTTAGGACAAGTCTTTAAATATCTTGTAAGAAATTAACTGGCTTGACTATAAATTAGGAGATATTGATCATGGAACCATTCATAAAGAATGTAAATATAAGAAAATTGATACCTTTGATGCTTATAGACCATTTGTACTTATAACGTGTTCAAAAATTAGTGTCTGACCAAATGATCCAAGAAAAAGTACTAATATTTTATTAACATAAATCCGAAGACAAATATAGAGAAGGAAAACTTTTCTTTCTTTTGGATTTAGTAAATATGATGCATAACGTTTTCGCCTCTATTTATAGCTAATCAAAATGGCATTTCTGAAAATGTTGTTACACTTTTAACTGCATAGCTAAAGTCAAAATTGGTGTAAAAATGGTTGAAAGTTTGTTCAGCATTAATGTTACCATTCATCGTAATAATTTATAACATTATTGCTCTATTTCTTTTATTTGTTTGGTACTCTCTCCTCCGTTCCAAAATAAGTGTCATTTTAGAATTTGCACATAGTTTAAGAAAACATTAAATAAGGTAACTAAATTACTAGAATATCATCAACCAACTCCATTAAAATAAATGTTACCAAGAACATTGTTTATTTTGAGAATATGTTTGGAAATTTTTGACAAAAAATGCATTAGAATCCGAAAACGACACTTATTTTGGAATTTCTCCATTTTGCCAAAATAACACTTATTTTAGAATGGAAAGAATATCCTACATGGTTGTGATACTATTTCCGTAAGTTTGAAAATACCTAATTTATTACTACTACATCGGTAGAAAAATAATCCCAAATCGAGTTTGCTTGATGAATTTGGTCTCGTTGATTAAAAATGACATATTCGAGAGCCTGGAAAAAAGAAGTCTCATAAAAACATCCATAAATCACAAATCTCTCAGAGAGCCTGTTCATCTCGTAATCTTTCCAATAATAATAATAAAACTGCAATAATACTATAACCGTCATAGAAAAAATAGTTTACATTACGTTTTTAAATTTGTATTAAAAACAGTACAAAATTTAAAATTCAATATGGACTATTTTTCTGGGACGGGGAAGCATATGACATTCTTCTCCTAAACACCACAATTGACAAGAAGCAAGGAGAGGAAGAATTTCACTACCCGCACTCAATCTAGTTGTTTTTGGTCCGATTTTCCCATCTCAGATTCATCTTAAAAAGCATAAACTTTGATTATTTGCCAAGCTCTTTCCTTTTTTGGCGCTTTCTTTTTCTATTTTTTTTCTTCTTTTGATTTTTTTTTTAATTAAAGAATAACTTCCAATCTAAGAATAAGATAGAAATCACTGGACAACTCAACAAAACTTGAGATTCCGTACAGACCAAACAAATACACTACGCAATATATATTCATTAAAATTTGTGGAACTATAGAGTACAGAATATTTTTGTTTGCTTAGATAAGAATATTTGTCCGAACAAATCAGATCATAACCTGACTTTTTCCCAAGATTAGAACTTTATTGATAATTTACTCTAAGATTTTTCATAGAAAAACCTTAAAGAAAACCGGAAAACTGTATGTGAAGCTGACACATCAGTAGATAATGATAGTCCAGATTTGTGTAGACCAGATGAAATGAAAATGTGAGCCCAACCCAGTTTGGCTGACTCATTCATCGCGTAATTGACTGTTACAGTTACAAGTTACAACCAGAGAGCACATGAATTGACAATGAAAACAAAATGATTTGTCTATTAGTTCAAGGCTACTCTAGCTTTATACAAGGAAATTTCTTGATTCATTCTTCTGCAGTGGTTGGTTACTGGTAACAGGGGAGCTTTGCTTTTGGGAGGAACTGAACTTCTGCTTCTTAATGTGAGTTTTCATCTTGGGTTCTGCTTAATTAGCTTGGATTTCATCTGGGTTTCTTTGAATTTTCCACATTTGATTTTTTTTAGGATGAGGAAAGATGGATTTTTTTTGTTTTTTGTTTTGTTGATGTTTGGCCAATCCTTGGTTAAAAAAGAAGTCTTTTTGGCGGTATTTATTAGTAGCGTCTCTATTGGTTAGTTTAAGTTGCGTCCATGGATTCTTATAATCTTGTTTGTATTAGTTTGAATGGGGGTATAGCTGCGGATGGTTGGGGAGATAGGAGAAACGAAGCAGCAGTTGTCAATAATTACATGATTAATGCAATGGTTTTTGATATATGCATTTCATTTGCAGTTCCTTTGGTCACCTTTATGTGTAAAATCTCTGTTCATTAGCAACATCTGGGATTCCTGAAATAAAGAGAAAGGCACTTGAAAGAAGATGTTTCTTATCAGCTTCTCTTTGTATTATTTGTAGATTGCTTTAGAGGTAATTGGTTGTATAATAGAAAGAACTTTTGTTTCCTTTTGCAAATCATACCATTCTTGATTCAATTTATCCTGCATGTATGGAAGATTTTAATCTTTTCTGCCTGTAATTGCCAGGATAGTGATGGAAGAATCGTCCTTTTGATTTGATATCTTAAAACTGATAATGATTCAGTCATGCATAAGTGTGCCTTCTTGAATATGCATCCGGCCGCATCATTTTATCAAGTTCAACTTGTTTGTTGTAAAATGCTTGGACTCTCTCTTTTTGTGTTTCTTTTGATTTTAGCTTCTGGTGCCCTGGCAGTACATATTTGCCATTGAAATCCTGCCGTACGTAATGTATTCAATTTTTTAATATTGCTTTGTTGCTGTATTGGACCACTTTCCATGAAATCTACAAATAGCAGAAATCTAAAATTTTGATTTTTCCACTTACACATATATTCACCTTCTTGCAGTAGACTTAGCTCAAGTGGAAGCTGCATTTAGCTTACTCATGGGCTCAAAGGCATTAATTACTGTCTTTCTGGTATTTCTACCAACCATTTTGGCACAAAACTTGAGAAGTGCAGTACTTTCAATTGATACAACTGCGAAAATCGCCGAGACAGATGATAATTACATATGCGCCACAATCGATTGGTGGCCTAAAGAGAAATGTAACTACAATCAATGTCCCTGGGGATCGTCGTCCTTGTTAAATTTGGTAATAATTCTGAAATGCACCCTAGCCTGATTATTGATCTTTCTTTTTGCCCATCTGATTTAGTTCCTATAGGGGTTAAAACGACAAATTCTAAGCCGTTTTTACTGGGTCTTTTTTAATCTTTTCAGGATCTCTCCCACCCTTTGCTGTTCAATGCAGTTCAAGGTTTTTGTTCGTCTTCACTGAACTTCATCTTTTTGATTATTTTCATGCTTTTGAATGTGTGTGAAGAGTCTGATGAATGCAAATCTTGTTCACTCAATTTTGATATGACATAAAACTTCACAGATATATTTGTCTCATGTTTCATTCGGTGAAGAGTTGTCTTAGTCAAAGGGAATATAAAATCTCAGCATGCATGTCATGTTGTTCTGCCCTTCCACCTATTACTTGGCAGGGTTGGAAATGGCTCGTATATGTCGGACAAAACATGTAGATTGGATAGTTGGCTGTGTGTTTATTTTTTAAAATAAGGAGCTGTTTGGCCTTAAAACTTCAATTCCTTCCATAATACTAAAAAGTTAGATGGTGTTACCAGTTACTAATTTCTTTATTTGTTGTTTACAGCCTTCAAGAGTTTGAGATTGAGATTGGGAGGTTCATTGCAGGACCAAGTACATTATGATATTGGCAGCTCTCAGCCTTGCAAGCCATTCAAGAAACAGAAGGGCGGACTTTTTGGGTTTTCAGAAGGGTGCTTACCTATGGAAAGGTGGGATGAGCTCAATGGCTTTTTCCAAAAGACTGGGTAAGATATGATCTCTTTCTCGCTTTTCTTTTTATGTTGTCTGCTGGTTTTTGTCTCTAGCACAACAAAAAGAAATTTGGATCTGTGAAGTCATATCACTCTACTGCATGAATAGTAGTTTCTTTTTTTCATTTTTTTACTTTTTTCCGTCGGGGGTGGGTGTTTTTGTGGGGGGCACAAAAAATGTTTGTGTGTTTGATGGCATGCTGATATGAATTTGCAGAGTACTTGTGACTTTTGGCCTCAATGCCCTGCGCGGGAGGCACCAGACTAGAAGGGGTGTTTGGCTAGGAAATTGGGATTCTAGTAATGCTCGTGATTTTGTCAGATACACAATTTCTAAGGGCTACCACATCTGTTCATGGGAATTTGGTATAGGAAGCATTATTGTATTTCTTTTAAGTTATGACATTGATCTGTAAATATTCAACTTCCATCTTCTGCATTACTGCAGGTAATGAGCTCTGTGGCAAGGGAATCGGAGCAAGTGTTGGTGCTGAACAATATGCCAAAGATGTCACCAAGCTAAATTCCATCATCAGTGAAGAATCCAAGGGTCTCCACTCCAAGCCTCTTGTTTTAGCACCTGGGGGATTTTACGATAAGGACTGGTATTCTAGGCTCCTTCAACTGTCAGGTCCCGAAAAAGTTGATGTCCTGACACATCACATCTATAATTTGGGAGCAGGTACAGAAGTACTCTAAAGACAATGTAGAATCCCAAATACATTTATGAAATTAGTGATGGATAGCCTCAAATGTCCCTAAGGACGATAAGTGCTTTACTTATGTTCTAATCTCAAAATACAGCATCTCTTAAGTGGTTGGTTGGAGGGGGGGATATTCCTGTGGATGTTGGTTTTTCCTGCTTTCTCCTTCTTTTGTTGTCTTTCTTGCAAGAATAAATTGTAGTGCCGTCGACAGATACTCTGTAGCACAATCATGTTTCTGACTGTGGATCAATTGCAACTTTATGCAGAGTTTGAAACTATAGGAATGTGAATAAAGGAAAACAAAACTATGAATTTTTTGTGCCTTTTGGACTCTAGAAAGTCGGCAAATTTGATAAAACTCAGAGTGGGGAGTTAGAGCCTTTTTTTTTTTAATTTTTTTATTTTTAACTAGTAGCTAGATATTTGCATATTCTTTTAAAATTGCATACGGTTAACCAAACTAATCAGAAAATACTCCGTTCCTATCTGACATTGTAGATCTGTGGTTTTATGAACCAGACAATGCTTTTCTGTTTCAGGAGTTGACCACAATCTTATCAGCAAAATCCTGAATCCTTACTACTTGAATAAGGTAACTAGCACATTTGGCAACCTAAGTAGTACCATTCAGAATGATGGTTCTTGGTCCTCTGCTTGGGTTGGAGAAGCTGGGGGTGCTTATAACAATGGTGGTCGCAATGTTTCTGATACTTTTGTTAATAGCTTTTGGTATGTCCCCTTTTCAATAAATTTTATCTTCACACAAATGCTACTTGATGTTCTTTTAGTTTCTGAGGCGAAGTTCCTTTGTATATGGTTTTGCTGTCTGAAATTTTTTTTATATCTGTCTCGGTGCTTTTGTTAAACATATTTAGGTACTTGGATCAGCTTGGCTTGGCAGCTAAGTATAACACCAAAGTGTATTGTCGTCAAACTTTAATTGGTGGAAACTATGCTCTTCTCGACACTTCAACATTCATTCCAAATCCAGATTACTACAGGTGAGGACGCAAACTTAAGTTTTCTGTGATTTTATTAAGAAGGATTTATTCAATTTTTGTTGGATTTTGTTTTACACAGTGCATTGCTTTGGCATCAGATTATGGGAAAAGGAGTTCTTTCTATCCACAGTAGCGAGCCCTATTTGCGGTCTTATGCCCATTGTTCAAAAGGAGGAGTAAGAGGCCTGCTTATTCTTTCTTCATGAACTTCATACGTTAGTATAAAATTGTGAGCATAGCCAGGAGCGATTAAAAAAATAAAGTCCCCAGGGTCCACCTAGTCAAAATAATTGGCTGTCTAATATGTGTGTGCATGCATGACATTTATAACTTTGTCCTGTTAAATCATAGGAAAGGAGAATTTGTTTATGGGTCGAATCTATTTTCTGAATTCAACAAAAACCACAATAGTAATCAGCGAGTTGTATATTGCTAGTTACAAATTTTGAGTAATTGCATCCCCTGTTGTTTAGAGTTCCGGAGAAGGTATTTTAGACCAAAATAATGCTTTTTTGATGTAGTGCACTATGTCTCTCCCTCTGTCTTGTGATGGTTTTTGTTCAAAAGTATCATCTTAGTTGCTTTCCCATCTGTTAATCATGAAAGCCAAAAACTTGTTGCCTTTTTTTCTCGCTGACAGGATCTTTGCTTCTGGTCTTTGCGGCTTTATTTCTGTAAAACATTTATTCTCACTGTGCCTACCAAAGCGTATTTTATATTATTGGGAAATCATCCCTAACATCACTCACTCTTTTTTCAGGGAGGCGTGGCAGTTCTCTTGATTAATTTAAGCAATGAAACTGCATTCAACATCGAGATTGAATCCGCCACACATTTCGATTCACTGGTGGAGGAGAAAACAGAAAGTGAGAGAAATGCTTTCGTGCGTAATCTCAAGAAAACTGTGGCATGGATTGGAAGCAAAACAGGAGATGAAAATTTGTGGAGAGAAGAGTACCATTTGACCCCGAAAGATGGCGATCTTCAAAGCAAAATCATGCTACTAAATGGAGAACCATTACAACTAACAAATGCTGGAGGCATTCCAAGTCTTGGCCCTGTATTTGTTGATCTGAATTCTCCTATGTACATCGAGCCTTTGTCGATCAAGTTCATAGTATTGCCAAACTTTAACGCGCCGGGTTGTTAGCTGAAATTTGTTTGCTCTCGCATCATTTGCTGTTGTAAGTCTGCCATATTCCCTTCCCTGCTAGCAGAATCATTTACTGAGTAATGTATATTTAAGTCAATGCTATGATTCACTAGTAAATGTAAGTATGAAGGTGATAATACCATTTTTTTTTTTTTTTTGAATAGGGAAGGTTTGTTTCACGTCAAAGCAAATGATTGAAGATGCTAATGCAGCAGTGCAACACATTAACAGAAGATTATATTGAAGGGTTGGAACTTTGCTGGCTGCAAAAATGTTTGTAGTTGTATCAATTAAATGATGAATAACCGCCCCACACACCCCCACAACCCCCAAAAAAAAAAAAAGAAAAAGAAAAACACAGACAAATAACACCAGAGCAAATGATAGCTTTACATTTCCAACAAACTATTAAATGACAACTTAATAAGAAAAACAGAATAATGTTGTGAAATTAAAAACCATTGAAAAAAGCAGGGTTCTGACTTGATGTCTTCTGTCAAATGAATAGTGACAATTGTCCCACCAAAACCAGAAGCAATCCAAAAGAATCAGAGACAAATGGAATATGGGATGTATGAGATTAGCATTCACGTTGCAATCTCTTTGATTACTTCTTCATGTAGTGTTGGGCAACAATTTCCCCTTGGGATTGAACTTTATCCTCTAAATTTGGTTTCTTTTTTTCGTCTGGGTTTCTCTTCATAAGCTTAGATTTCATTTGGGCTGCTCCAAAATTGGATGTGCTACCGCATATGATCAGGAAAGTTCAGGACTTTTTCTTTTCTCTTGAATCTACGGCATGTGAATAGAATCTAATTTAGTTTTTTCAATTGCTTTTTGGGACAGTTTTCAGTTGTCTTTATGCAAATAGAAGGATTGTGATTTTCTTATCATGCATGTTAGTTTTGCGGCCTGCAATTTGAAGGATCATTTGGTCTCTATAACTTTAATATCTGCTACTGAGGTATCCTGCTTAGGCATAATTGGTTACATTGATCACATGCTGGTTGATAATTGATTATAAGTAGTGACATTTCGTCCAGAGTTTGTTCTGTTTCCCACAGCAGGTGATCTATCTGTGCAATATTTATTTATTTATGTTTTTTATCAAATTTATACCATATGTGGTAGATTTGAACTTTTTTAGTCTGCCACTTTGTTTGTCTCAAATATAACATAGAAAAGTAAGTGTTGAGAAATTCCATCCTCTGATGAGCTCAAAAGCTTTCACTGGTATGTTTCTGGTATTTATACCATCCATTTTTGCACGAAACTCCCAAAACGCTGTGGTTTCAATTATTTCTGACACAACTAGGCTAGTTGCTGAGACAGATGAGAATCGTATATGTACGTTCATTAAGCCTACGGAGAGATGTAACTACAATCTATGCCTTTGGAGTTCTTCCTCTCTGCTGAATTGGTAGCTTCTAATTTGATATCAGCCAATTTGCAGATATTTTTACTGGCACAATATATAATCTACCCCGTCTTTACCGTGTTTATATAATCTGAGGATCTTTCTTGCCCGCTGCTGTTGAATGCTGTACAAGGTTCTAACCTGTTTTCACCATGTTTACTGGTAATAATGAGGCCAACTAAGATTTAAATGTCTATTTATGGCAAATTTTTATTTGAAAAAGTCAAAACTCCTTTTGTGGGAGTCCATCCCTCCTGTTATCTGGGTGATTTCTGATCAAGATTTTTTTTTTGAAAAGGTCTGATCAAGATTGAGATCTAACTCATGATGCTATTCCTTTTTTTTTTCTCTCTCTCTCTCCCCACCGGTTCCTCTCTCTCGCTAAAATGTGAATAGAAATGATGAACTAATGAATTTTGGTGTTTTGTTCATGATGAAACATGTATTTGCCAATTCACTTTTTGTCAATTGAAAAGCAAAAGAAAGGAAAAACAGGTGAGTCTCTATGGCCAAGAAGAGGTTGACAGAGTATCTTACCTTTTTATATGAGGGACAAGGTCAAACATTAGAAACTCCTTATTTTGCTGCCAAAACCCGTGTCCTTTTAGCTTTTAGTCTTTTCTCTCCTCCCCTTGTGCCACCATCTCTCATCCAAGATGGTGGCGCAGAACCAACTATTGAACATGGCGGAAGATCGTGTTCTTGTATGTGTGAGGGATCCTCCAAAGGTGAATTCCTTGGGATTCTTTTCCTCCTATCACAAACTCAGGGATCCTTTTGTATATTCTTTGCCTGTATTGGAATTGCAGTTAGTCCTCATCTTCGTGCTCACTCATCTATTTCATTCGGCTTTTAAGCGGCTTGGATTTCCGAAGATAGTCTCTGAAATATCTGTAAGTATGTGACATTCGAACCTTTCAAGTTTTTGTTTTTGTTGTTATGATGAGCTATGTAGAAACCTTCTCGTCTTTTCCATTTGCAAAGATATTTTCCATTCTCTATAAATGACAGTTTTTTGGTTTCTTTCTTCTGTCATTTATAGTTCTCTCAAGTTTTCTCCCATTACCATTCATGCATTCTGCAACATTGTACAGGTACTAGGAAAACTTTATTCAACAAGAAATGGCTGCAACGTGTATATGTTGATATATGCTTTCATGGAAATGTGATAGACCTGGGAACCTGTATAATAATATATAATTTTCGTGTGGTGTAGGCCGGCGTAATACTTGGATCGACAGTGTTGGGGTGTAAGGAGAGTTATCAGAGGATTTTATTTCCTGCAGCAAGTCAGCGAATTCTGGGTGCATTCTGCTCTTTTGGATACTTGCTTTTCCAATTCTTGAGTGGAGTCAAAATGGACACTGGAATGATAAGGAAAATAGGATCGAAAGCACTAGCAATTGGGATTATAAATCTAGTAGCACCCTTAATAATTGGTTGGGTTACTTTGAAAGCATTGACAATTAATCCAGCAAAGAAGGGGGATGATGCCACGCCAAGTCATAAGTTACTACTGCAGAATGGGATGGGCATTTTGGTAGCCCACTCTATGACTGCGTTTCCAGTTGTTGCTCTCCTTCTCAAGGATCTCAAAATCCTCAACTCAGAGCTTGGTCGATTGGCTATGTCCTGCTCTCTGATCACACACTTGTCACAAGTGACCTTTAACTCAATTAACTCATTGTATTACATATATGTCAGAGATCATTGGCGAGCCATTTCTGATTTAGTCATTTGCATCAGTTTCATTCTTCTTGTTATCTATATAGTCCATCCAGCCTTCATATGGATGGTAAAACAGACGCCCGAAGGGAGGCCGGTCAAAGACTTTTATATATTCTTGACTATTCTTCTTGTCTTCGTTTCTGCTGTGATCTCTTACTGGTTTGAGCTAGCAGTTCTTTTCGGGCCCTTTATCGTTGGATTGGCTGTACCTGAAGGGCCGCCTTTGGGATCTGCTTTGGTTGATAAGCTGGATGCCCTCTCTTCTGGTGTGCTGTTGCCTACATTCATCACTCTGGTAACCCTCAGAACAAATCTATCACAAATTAGCTTCTCGATTCCTCACATCATCCTCATTCTGGTCCCTTTCTCAGCAAAGATTATAACATGTTGCTTGACTGCATTGTATTGCAAAATGCCCTTAAATGATGCTGTAGCACTTGGTCTCATCATGAGCATAAAGGGGGTGGTGGATTTGGCAGCCTACAGCTTTATCAGAGACGCAGATGTAAGTTGCTTTCTACTTCCCTTCTCATCAGGCAAATTTTAAATATTTTTTTACTCAGTCCTTGTGTTTTACTTGTACATATATCTGTAAATAATTTACCATTTTAGGAGACTTGTATGGCAGACTTGCACATCTATTGACTTCTCTTATACATTATGCCCTACAGATGATCGATCAGTCAACCTTTTCATTGTTGGTTGTGGCGACAGCAATCATTGCAGCTTTTGTGCCTTCTATGGTTCAGTTGCTTTATGATCCTAAGAGGAAATATGCAGGATACCAGAAAAGGAGCATAATGCATTCAAAAATTGGTGGCAAGTTACCAGTAATCGCATGCATCCATTCCTCGGACAATATTATGGCTATCATCGGGATACTTGATGCCTCCACTCCCTCTGTGGAAAATCCCATAATTGTCAATGCCCTACACTTAATAGAACTGCGTGGTCGAGCTTCGCCAATCTTCATATCCCATGAAGTTCAAAAGAAAACACATTCCAGAGTGTCCTACTCTGAGGATGTTATCCTTGCTTTTAAGCAATACGAAAGGAACAACTGGGGAGCTGTATCTGTTCGTGTTTTCACAGCCATTTCACCAAGGAAGTTAATGCAAGAGGACATATCGACACTCGCCCTTAACGTTCTTGCCTCCATAATCATAATGCCTTTTCACCGAAGATGGGCTATTGATGGATCAGTTGAATCTGAAGATATCAGTTTGAGGACGTTGAATCGCCATGTTCTGGAGATAGCTCCTTGTTCAGTCGGGATCTTAGTTGATGGAAACCATCTTCGATGCTCTGCCTCAATGTCGTCATCAGCAACGGTTTACTCGGTAGCCGTCATCTTTGTTGGTGGAAATGATGATCAGGAAGCACTGGCGCTGGCGAAGCGCATGACCAAAAACAGGAACATAACTCTCAAGATTCTGAGATTTTTTTCTACTGAGGTTGGTAGTCCAAACTTAGAGGATGAAGTGCTAGACATCAAGGCATTGTATGATTTCAAGCACCACAGGCTTGGACAAGGCAATGTTACTTATGTAGAAGAAGCGGTGAATGAAAGCTCAGAATTCGCTTGGAAACTGCGAACCATCGCAGATGAATATGATCTGATTCTAGTGGGAAGAAGTTACAAAAAGGAGTCACCAGTGACCTCAGGGTTTGAGCAATGGTGCGATGTTCCAGAATTAGGGGCCATTGGTGACTTCTTGGCCTCGAGAGATCTTCGACGCCAGGCTTCTGTTCTGGTTGTGCAAAAGCAGAAAATAACTCGTTAGTTGTGGTCTTCTTTTTGTTCTTTTTTCTAGGGTTGGTTCTGTTGATTTTTGATGTAATGAGTTCATCTAATGGAATGGTGAATTTGTGGGTTGCTTCAAAGGTTAGTAGTCATTGGGTTTGGGTACATATTCTTCGGTTCTGAGCTTTTTCGTAGTTTTTCATCAGAATCCAAAGGTTGTTTTTCTGCCTTTTTTTTCATGGTAAAAAATGATTAAAAATGGTGATATTCTTTTTATAGATTTTTTAGAGCCTTTCTATACGTCTTGATAAGAATAAATTTTTTATTTATATACTTTTTTCGTAATACTCCCTCCATTTCAAAATATAAGTTTTTTTAGTCTTTACACGTAAACTGAGGAGACAATCATTTAATGATTAATTTGTGTGTTAAATGTTTGTTTTTGTTCTTTATTAGTAATTGTTTTGAAATTATAATCAAAACCAGATAAAAAGTGATTAGCATTATTTATTAGAGGTAAAGTTTGAAAGTTAATCTTTAATTTATTTTAAAATCCTAAAACGACTTACATTTTGAAATATTTTTTCAAACTTAAAACGATCTACATTTTCAAATGGAATGGGTGAGAAGCAATCATTTTCAAACTGAAATAGAGTAATATAAACACATATGGGGTTCACTAATTTTTGCTTGTTTACAACCTATTATTATTTTATTTTGATGAAATGTCCATTAGTAGCTTAATTGAATTTTATTTATTTTTTTTTTTGTATGTGTACCGTAGAAATCTGACTATTTTTTTTTCCCGAAAATTACAAAATTGAGTTTTGTGTGGACAACAATCTGACGTCACAAAAGCAATTCAGCGGAAAAAAAAAAGAAGAAAAGAAAAAAATACTACTAATTTGGAAGATAAAATAACGGTAAGAAACGTGGCAATTTGAATTCATCCCTATTGCCGAATCTCAACCGTCCGATCAGGCACCGCTTTCCTTCATCCATCTACGAGTTTTTCTCAAAAAAGATTGCAAATTTTGCAATTCATACTGGATCAACTGGATTTGAGAAATTCATTCCGAATAGAAATCTGAAACCCTCATCCCAGAAAGATCCATCAATTTCGTCCTCACTTTCTTCCTGAGTTGATCAGAGAAATTGGGTTTTTCTTGAGGCATTACTTTCCCGATTTCTTGTTCGTCTTAACCGAAAGAGAGAAATTCTGTCTCCGTTCTTTCGGCCTTTGATCAATTTTTTTCCTGCTGTCTTTCTTCTGGGTTCTTCCATTCACAAGGAGACGGAGTATTTGAAGAACCACTCAAAGATTTCCTCGTCAAACTGAAGAAAAAGACCAATCTTTCTTCTGGGTTGTGTTCAAGAACAGATTTTTTTTGTCAATTTGGGAATCCGGGTAATCTGCTAGTTCTTTCCGGTGGGTTATGTTCAAGAAGAAAATATGGCTATTGGGCGTCGTTTCTATCCGAATGAAGAAGAGTTGATTTCTTATTATCTGAAGAAGAGGATTTTGGGAATTCCTTTAACAGAGAAGGAACAGAGCTTTTTTGTTGAAACAAATCTGTTTGGGGATAATAATAATGCCACGCCCTGGGAATTGTTGTCAGATGATCTTCCATGGCAGATTGAGCTGGGTTCAATGAATAGAGTTGTGGAGTCTCAAAAGATACTGTATGTTTTCAATTTCGGTGGGAAGAAAATTCCAAGAACAATAAGCATGAAAATAGAGTGGCCGGTTGTGGTACTTGGATTGCTAATCATTCTCCGAAGCCAGTTATGGACAATTATGGGTCAGGGAGGAAAATTGGACAAAGCATGTCCTTCAGGTTTGAATCCTCAAATCATACTGTTGGACAGTGGATAATGACAGAATATTCCATTGATGCTGCTGCCAATGGCATTCCACCGCGTCAAGGAATGAATTTCTCTGATTACGTATTGTGTAAAATAAAAAGGGACAATTCCAAATCTTCCAAGGACGGAAGAATTGTCTGTCGGAAGAGGAAATGTGAAAATATGGTGTCTGAAGGGCAGAGTTTTGGGAAGAAGATGAAGTCAGAAAGTAGCTGTGAAGATTTGAGTGTAGTGACCTGTATAAATGGTGTGGATCATTCTGATGTGTCTGCCAAATGGTTTCCAGGAATTGGGGAAAGCAACTGTTGTGAGTGTGTGGTGTGTAGGTTAAAGATTTCGGAGATGGAAACCAAATCGATGAGCTTCACGACTTGTGAAGATTCTGGTTCTGTAGTAGATAACAATGAGGAGATGACAACTTCTCAAGAAGTAAATTCTACTGTTCTTTTTGATGTTGATAATGTTCCCAGTGATGAAGATTTATACTTTGATTCAACCTTCCCTTTCGATCCTTTCGACATTGAACCTTTCCTGGACTTATACTTTGATAACTCCGGACGATAGGATTCATAGTTTAGTTCAACCTTTAACTTTGATACTTTCCTGGAGAATATGAAGGTTTGATCCATGATTTTGTTTTGATTTGTAATGCAGTAGAAGGTAGAATGCTTTTAGAGGTTCTGTGTAGATTTTGTCTTACACTTGTATGTTAAAGAGTATACTGAGTAGGGTGTAGTTAGTGATATTGCATTTTGTGGTGATCAGAAAATACTTTCAACTGCAAATATGAGTAGTTCTTCAGTATTCATATGATATTTGCAATTTGAGTTTTGGATGATCCTTAATTCTACACCTCAAGACTGGTTCTGAGTTGAATCGCGGGTTTAAAAGCCTACTGATTTCTTTTAGCTCACACAGATACAGAATTTGTTCCTGATTCAGGTAGTTTTAGTGGACATTGCACATAATAATATTGCATAAAAACTGTAACCATGGAAACCTGCCGGTTGAGCATGTAGATCTTGGAGGAAAGATAGATACGAGTCAAATTTTGAAGCTCATGCACACTGTTTATCTCCTCAGTATTACTATGAGTTTACAATATAGCTTTTGAGATTTCAATAAACCACATGCCAGTGTTTCAACTTGCTGACAAATTTATTCTTACTCTCTCTGCGGTCTCCTTTCAATAGTGTACCATTTCAATACAACCATTAAAAATGGAACGGAAAGAAGCATTATTCTTTCTTTATTTTGAGTTGTAATGAAAATCCACATTAGTATATATATATATATATATATATATATATATATATATATATATAAATAGGTGGTGTTTGGCTTCAAGATTCCTTCTTTTTTCACTCTTTCAGAGCGCAAACCGAAAGTCCAAGTTGGTGATAACATATGTAATCATCACCGAGGCAGCTGCAGTCCTGATCAGAATCACAGAACTGACAGCAGGGAGCCCCAAACAGACATGGTTTTCTTATTGGAATAGAAGAAGTCTCCTTCATTCCTCTTCCTTCCATCATTCTCAGTTTTGGTAAACCTACAACCAAGGAGAAAAACAGAAAGCAATATATATATATATATATTATGTATGTAGGGAAATATTAATAATTGAAAGGATTGAGAGAGTTAAGAGAGAGAGAGAGAGGCTAACAAATTGCTACAATGAAGAGCAACAAGAGGATGGATTTGAGTGATGAATCAACGGCTTGCTTCATTCTCTCTCGGACACCAATTAAGCCACAGGTGGATTTAGAAATGATTTTGTTTCCCCATCCCACAAATAATAGACTGAATTTATAGTAGTAGTGGTAGTAGTCATACTCTCGTGAAATAATGATCTAAAACAATGTCACAAATAAATTATTCTCTGTTCCGGGTACGAGAGGGAATGAGTATAACGTAGCGAGCTAATAAAATACACTAATTAATAATAAGTGAAATTATCTTAATACTACTGAACATGGTTGTTTGAATGTTAACATTAACATTCTCTCAAATATATAGTCGGCTCGAAATTTTAAATCAATCTTCACAAGAGCAGTCAATGTGACTTTTTGAGTTCAAATTAAACCATGTTAAAAAGAAAAATCCAAACTGGACAATAATTTTAGGGCGGAGAAAATATAATCGAGCAAATATACTAAACAACCAACTCCAACTATTATACCATTTTGGTTATTATTCGTTTAAATGCTCGAACATCTAACTCAAAGTTAACTCTTAATTAATAATCAATGTAGTAGTCCAAATAGCTAGCTAGTCATAATGGTTCTTGTCTTTGTTTACTTAGCTCTATAGAGTTAAGAAACTTGTGTCAAAACCTAGTAAAAAACGGAAACGAAACAAGGGAGCAGTATAGAAAATTCAGAAGCCAACAAAAAACTACAATGAGAATATCTAAGTTTAAAAAATTACTATGACAACATGACAACCAAAAATGAACTCCCATTTCCAGATCAACTTTTAATTCATCTCATTCAGCTGGAAGGTGGATTCCCAAGTATCCAAATACTAAAATCTTGATCCCATGGATTCCGAGATGGCCATGAATATTATTGAAGGAGCTGTTGCTGCTAAACAGAGTTGGAACAGGCAGGCCAACAGATGGCTTCTCTTTCTTGACAATAATTTTCTTGATCTTATCAAAGGTTAATATCCCTTTGGTATAATCCTGAATTCCCAATATTCCTAACTTGGTTGGGGTCTAGGGGTCGAATTTTCCTCAACAATTAACTTTTTTTCCTTTCGATTCTCGGGAATAATAAGGATGACTAGCTCAATCATTAAAACACGAGTTTAAGTTGTTTTACTAATAATTGAATATTGCCTGAAACTTGTGTTTGATCAATTTGTGGGAGCTACCTAGGCATCTCAAGAGTTTGATCAAAATGTATCTTAGTTTAGTATTTCGAAACTAAAATATTAATACTCATGAGCCCTTTTTCTAAGGAATATTATTAAGATTTTAAGATTTTAAGAGATACTATAATGTCAAATGTATAGTCACCCAATTTATAGCCCTCATACTTTTGGCGCCCTGCTCTTTTTTCCTCATTCAAATTACCAGCTTTTACAAAACCCTCTGCTCAATTTCATTAGTACGCTTCTGTTTTGGTTCAAGATTCGGTCTTTTTCTATCAAATGTCAAACCCAATACTGAAACAATTTGATTTCATTAGCTTGCTGGGAAATTGCAAAAGGGTTGTGGAAATTAAACAAATTCATGCGCTCCTGATCATATTTGGGCTTTCCCTCGAGCACCCATTTGCCTCAAGGATTCTCTCATCTATGGCTACTTCGAATTCTTTCAACATCGATTATGCTAATCGATTCTTTCTTCAAATCTCTAACCCAACAATATTTTGCTATAATACAATGATTAGGGCCTATTCTAGTAGCAAAAATCCAGGTAGGTCTGTATGCTTACTCGTCGATATGTTGAGGAATGGTGTTGCGCCGGATTACCTAACCTACCCTTTTATTGCTAAAGCTTCTGCGCGGCTGTCTGATTTACGGCTTGGATGCTGTACCCATGGTGTTGTATTGCGGAGTGGGTTTGTGATGGATAGATTTATTTCAAACTCTTTGATTCATATGTATGGTTCTTGTGGTGAGATAGAGAATGCTAGGAAATTGTTCGATGAAATGCCTAGTAAGAACTTGGTTTCGTGGAATTCGTTGCTGGATGCATATGGAAAGTCAAGAGATTTGGGAAAGATGAAGGAAGTGTTTGGTTTGATGCCAGATAGAGATGTTGTGTCCTGGAGCTCGTTGATTGATGGTTATGTAAAGAATGAAAAGTTCACCGAGGCACTGGAAACTTTTGATCAGATGAAAGCTATGGGACCCAAGGCCAATGAAGTGACAATGGTTAGCGTCTTGGTTGCTTGTGCTAACTTGGGTGCACTTGAGCAGGGATGGCTGATGCATAGGTATGCAGTGGAAAATGGATTACCTTTAACTTTAGTTTTGAGGACATCCATAGTAGACATGTATGCTAAATGTGGGGCAATCGATGAAGCCTTTGATGTGTTTCGTGGGGCCCCAGGGGAAAAAACTGATGTTTTGATATGGAATGCCATGATTGGTGGGCTAGCTGCTCATGGATTTATCAAAGAAGCAGTTCAAATGTATGCTGATATGCAGAGTTTCGGTATCAAGCCTGATGAAATCACATACTTGTGCCTTTTGAGTGCCTGCGTGCACGGAGGTCTGGTGGAAAAGGCATGGTATTTCTTTGAATCTCTCCGTAAAGATGGAATGATTCCAAAGAGTGAACACTATGCTTGCATGGTTGATGTTTTGGCACGTGTAGGGGAAGTATCGCAAGCCTACCAATTTCTGTGTCAAATGCCCATTGAGCCCACTGCTTCTATGTTGGGAGCATTACTCAATGGTTGTTTGAATCATGGAGACTTGAATATTGCAGAAGTAGTAGGGAAGAAGCTTGTTGATATTGACCCCGATCATGATGGTAGATACATTGGTCTGTCAAATGTTTATGCTGTCGGTAGTAGATGGGCTGAAGCAAGAATAGCGAGGGAAGCTATGGAGATGAGAGGATTGAAGAAGCTTCCTGGCTTTAGTTTTGTTGAGATTGAAGGAACCCTTCACAGATTCATGGCCCATGAGAAGACACATGTAAAATGTGAAGAAATATACACGCTGCTAGGAGTTATTGTTGTGGAAATGAGACCAAAAATAGATATCCAAAACTGGGAACTTATGGCGTATGTTTATGATAATTCATGAGCTCGAATTTGTCCTTGTATGCACCTCAGGAAGAAACTTTTGAATTGCAGAAATTTAAAACTTTTTTGACAGAAGATCAAGAGATGTACAAGCTTGCTCAAAATCATCTGTGGGTAAGAAACTATTCAAATATTTCCTTTCTATGAATTTAATATACATTTAGAGCAGCTGTTGCTCAGTGGCGTTGAACGTTTGTGACACATTGTGTGCATCATTCATTCATTTAAGTAATAGTACTAATAATACTAGCAATATTTTGGAGCTATTTCTTGAAAGCAAAGCAGGACTCATGAAAATTAACAAAGTTTCTGCAAACTTGATTGTCTTTTGATGTTTTATATAAGGATTTGTCTGACGCTTTCTGTATGGGCATTTGCTTCTAGCACCTAAAGGCTCATTTTTCTCTCAAGAGCATTTTCATATTAAATATGAGCTCATTACAGACTTTTGTTTTCCTTCTCATGTTTTCTGGTTTTCAAAGTTGGGTAGCTTGCCAAAGATAATTGAAAAGTTTCTTATAGGGAAAGGTTGCTGCTTCTCAAGACTTGAAGGCTCTACTCCAAATTGGAATGCTGTTCCTTGCAGATGAGTTTAACTCGAAGCCAAGCAAACAGGTTAGTTGATACTGGATACTACACTTGTTTAGTAAACAGTGATGCCCTATCCTCTAATTTGGCTCTGGCTACTGAGCTTAAAGTTCAATCTTGTTAGTGCAAATAGTGTATTGATCCGTGAGCCAAACAAGAATTCTGCTCTGGGTTTAAATGTGGGTTTTGAACTTGTTTGTAACAGGCATG